TGTTACGTCCAGCACGTAGCCCAAAGCCAGCCCCAGAGTCCCACACATCACAAATCTACATGGAATATTCAGCTTCATCTCCTGTGGAGGAACCCTCTCGGAGGCACGTTTTGGCTCTCTGCTGTCACAGCTTCATTACTGCTCACACACACTCACTGAGAAATGAGTCGGAAGGCTCGGAGCACAATAAATAAGATGGATCATAATTACGATCATCTATTTGTAATATAGGTCAAAGCACTAGCAAACCCTGGAGTGTGGACAGGATATCACACTGCTGAAGTAGGACTGTACGTATAATTACAACAAATAGAATAAACTCACTGACCCACCGGGTTTACAGCAGTTGTAGCATTAGGCTTTTAACTTATTTATGTTAAACAGAGAATTTCATCAGCTGCTTTTGAGTTTAATTCTCTTCTATCCAACAAAAACTGTTTTAGGATTGTAGCAGAAAAATGTAATAAGAATTTTTTCTGCTTAAACTTGACTTGTGTGTGTGTGGAAAGTTGCATAATTTTTTACCCAAATGTTATTTCTCCTCACATTTTTAGGCTCCAAGTTTTATGTCTCAACTTCATTCTTTAACCTAGAAATTGCCTTATTTTATGGTGAAATAATAATATTTCAATAATTCTATATAAAATAAATATAAAAAATAAAGCTAAATAATTCATAAAACTTTACGGTTGCTTGCTATTTTCCATGTGAGTCCATGCATTTACAGATACTGTCTTGTTCTCATCAGTGCTTTAAATGGGAGGAAAGAAGCCTTTTGTTAAACACAACACTAGATCCACTTTGTTTATCATATTCATTATAAAAAATGTCTCTTTGATGTAATAATCGTGTCCTTTTTTATTTTAAAGAATAAAATAGCCTACATAGATTGCTCAGAAAATAGATTTTTTGGATCTGTTTTTGAATTTAATGATAAACTCCGTTTTATCATCCAATTCTGTTTTCTGCAGAATTCATTGGCCGTAATAAGTTATAGAGTAGCAGTAAATCTGCTGCGTTTCAGATAAAAATCTTTTACTCGCCATCAGGAAATTGATGTTTTTGGTGCAGTATGACATGAAGTCCCCTGATGATGTCATTTAATTCAGTTAAATGCTTTTAAACAGGCAGAAAATGTCAGTGAAGTGAAATGGGTTTTGTTTACTGCCTAGAGAAATGCTGTTTTTTGTTTTTGTTGTTGTTATGAGTCATTGTGTGCCTGTGGAAGTTTGAAATGTTCCTTCGGCTCTCCGGTGGTAAGGCAGCAGGCAGTTGGCTAATGCTGCTGTGTGCCGAGCTTACATGAGACAGAGAAATTAGTGCCTGAAAAAGTTAGCTAAATGAAATGTCAATAACAAGCCATCAATAACCCTTCAAGCTCCCTCTTCAAATCACTTTGATAGATGCTTCGGTCTGCATTCACTCTGCTGCACTTACAGCTTGCTGTTAGGAGCTCGACCACCACAGAAGGGCTGAAACCGGTGCATATGCATTTAAAGCAAAAAATGAAAGAATCTAAAGAGACATGAATATATTTATATATATAGTATACTGCTAGCTTCAGATAAAAAAATCTAAAATAGACTTAAAGGTCGAGAAAAGGAAGTGCTGCAGTGTTTCTGTTCCTTCTCTCTTACTCAGAGCTCCTGCATGTAAAGACTGACCTTTTCAGCCAAAGAGAAGCTTTTTCAGCTCTTTTTTTTAGAGTCTATCAATATGCCACCGGTTTGACCCGAAATGGACCTGGTTCTCTTGTGGTTGCATTTGTGTGTCCTCCCCCTCCTGCTGGGATCAGCTGCCTATTGATAGACTTCAGTAACTCTATCATCATGTTCTTTCTTTTTGGGTGTCGGAGAAGAGGCGTGGCCGCCTCCTCTGGTTTCTCTTCCTTTTCTTTCTGATCTGCTTATTTCTTTTTCTGTAGACACATTTACTCAGCATGCAGACACAATTCAGACCATGCTTCTAATTAAATCTTTACCTACTATTGTGGTACCGTTTGTTATGCTGAAATTTTCTTTTTACATCACAAGAAATAACTAGTTTATTGAGCCTTTTCTACATGCAGCTCTTGGTTTTCATTGAGTGAACTTGAATAAACTTGGGTTGGGTTTCTGATGTAATTCAACTCAAATTAAAACAACTAGTAATATTAGTAATGATGTGCTTTAATACAAGGTTTGGAGAATTAAACGGTTACAGGTCTATTTTATTATCGTCAAGCCAAGACTAGAGAAAAAGTGTTAAAGGAACCAAGAGTTAAGCAACATGTTTGTTTATCTTTGGGTGATTCATTTGCTCCTCTGGAGAAGTATTGTAGGCAGGCTTTTATTGAGGAAGAAAAACAGACGATAAACTATTTAACCAGGGGAGGATGCCACTTTGGACATGGCGTCTCGTGGATTGTTAGCAGTCTCCACTTGGACTGCAGGATTATTAGCATTCCCCCTGCTGAAGGCAGTGATGTATGCTCGGCGCTGCAGCCTCACGGTGCTCCCGGTGAACACTTGGGTATAAAATCTATGGGCCAGTGTTCCCTTTAATGATCTCGTGTAAATGTCGTAGCTCTTGCGTTGGCAGGGCCAGGAGGTGCAATTTGTTCAGATCATTCTCTGAGCCACAACAGTCCTAGCTTATTAACAATCAGAGGTTATTAGATGCACAGTCCTCAGATACACAACACTGGGTGGATTACTGCTATAATGGATCTGAGTTAAGTTTGAATTAGTTTCACTGATGCTTTTTTTTAATGTTTTGTTTTCCGTTGTTTAGTAGAATTGTGGAACTCACAACTACCTGTGTATAAGAAGTGGGCAGAAATTCTCTTCAAATTGTTAAAATATACAAACTGGAGTAATTAGTCAGGGTCTAATGGTACATTCAGCTCACAGTACATGGTACTGGCTTATGAGAATAAGACGGGTACCCACAACCACCCCGTTGTGGGGGCATCATCTAAAGCAGGGGTTCCCAAAACTTTTCAGTCCGTGACCCATAAATGAACAGTTTCAAAGTCTCGCGACCCCCTGGAGATGAGTGAAATAATTAAACACACACGTGGAACTTAATCTTTAATAAGTGTACTCAAATAGACAGGTTTAGAACCCTCAACAGGTAAATATGGTACGAATTTACATTTGAAAACTGTAAAAGGCGACTCTGAAAACATTCTTGCTGTTGTGAGCAAACTTTAACACGTTACAATCCTTTGCAGTTTTTGTATAAGAACAAGGCAGTCAGTTAGCTTTTTGGTTAATTTCAGCTTCTAAAGTGACAGCAACTCAGTGCCACAACAATCTCCACACTTTCTCCCTCATTTTACTCTCTCCCGTCCTCCCTGCACACGCTTACACATACACAGCATTGCCATGGCAACAAATGGACATGCATCTCTGCCTCCCTTGAGTAAACATTTCCAGAACATATTAAAACAAAACTCCTAAACAGGTTACAAATGTTTGTAACAAATGCAACGCTAGATGAAATCTTAAAAAATGGTAACAGAAAAGTGCTTTCATTTCGATGTAGCAAAAAAACAAAACAAAACAAAAAAAACTCATGCAAAGTCACAAACGATGTAATACAGAGGAACTTTGTTTCCGTGCTTATTCACATTTTCAGAAAGTATGAGATGGATGGGCAATATGCTTGGAGCCGAGCAAGTCCATTCTGGGTTTAATTTTAGAGATGGCCACTTGAAGATCATCCTGCACGTTAAGACGTGATCTGTATATATTTTTAGTATATGTGAGGGTTGAGAAAGTCTTTTCACACAGGTATGTGGACCCAAACGGCATCAGAATGTCAATCGCAGCCTTAGAAATCTGTGGTTATTCTCTCTCTCAACTGAAATCCAGAACTCAGTAAGCATCTTTGAGTTAAAAGCGCTCTTTAAGGTGCGGTCGCTTGGCAGTTCAACCAGTGCGTCCTCAATGTCGGACGACAAATGATGCACTGATAAAAGCTATTTTAGAGGGAGGTATATATAATCTATGCAAATCATATAAAATTTACTCTATTGATGCAATCAGCAAAGGAATTAGAAAGTAATGGGTTAATTATACCCTTTTCTTAAGAGTAACAACATTACATTAAAAAATGCATTAAAAAATACCCCCAAACCGTGAGTCTTATGTTCCTAATTGCGCGTGCGCCAGACCGCGCTTTTTGACTGAGCGGGACAGCAAGCAAATTCTGAGTCCTTTCTTCAGCTTCCATCAAACCGATCAACCACAGAAGTGAAGGTAAGCTATTTAAACAGGGTAAATAACATATGCAATGGTAATTTTTGAAGTAATTATCTATTACACCTTATTTGTATTGCTTAGGTCTGTGTAATGCACCATACTTGAAATTAAACTTTGAATCTGTTGCTGTCTGTTAACCATCTAGACAACTGCCGGTAAGTTGCCATGAAATGTGTTCGTGGTGCGCTTTCTATCAGTCAACATGCATGACCAGTCCCGGACTGGTAATCGGAACACTGAGATCGGGTCGGGTAGGCCGGATGTAAACCGAGTAAAGACAGCGGTGATCTGATAATGATGTTGCGGGAGTTGTGCCATTCTTGGCGGCTCTAGTGACCCTCGAGCTTTCTGCTAGCTATTGAGCTGGTGGGTGTCGAAGCACTTTTGCAAATAGGCGATATTTTGATAAACCGAGCAGATATTTGAAGTTTACACACCCACATTCTCGCCTGAAAATATGTTAAAAGTTTATTATGTGGCCCAGAAAGAATAATAAGAGTAATTTTAAAACTTAGTAGCAGCCGCCATTGCTTGAAACTGGAATTGACTGGCGGCGCTATGAATTCTGGGATATGGTGTGCCACGAAAGACACACTCGACCCATCGTTTTTATTTTTTTATTTTTTATTTTATTTTTTTATTTAAATCCATCAATCAAACAGTCAAATACATACAAATATGGAAAATAAAATAAAAAAAGATGGACCCATCGTTCTAATTCGGGGTTGAAATGAGGACGCATTGGTCAACCTCCGGCGCGTTGGTGTGACGTAATTGGTCTACAAACGCGTCCCCGGGAGGATGCAGCCCACGAATCTGGACACCCCCAATAATTACAATCGCGGTCTTTGCAAACTATTTTCCTGCCTTGATGGAAAAGAAAATGGACGTCAGACGATCTTTTTTTATTTTGTGAGAAATGAGAGGGCAATCCTTAAGTTGTGGTGGCTCTGCTTCTGGGTCAACACATAAAACAGGTAAACAAACTTAAATCCTGTATGTCTTTGAGATTCTATGAACACTAGGCAGATTATTCCCAGCAGCCATGTTTTAAAACTCTTAAAAACAGCTGTTGCATCCGTCTGCGTCTCCCCATTGATGTTCACTGTAGCTCGTCATCCCGGAGAGCTCAATGAAAGCTTTCTCCCAGCTGTAACTGGAGGCTTTAGCAGCACCAGAACTTTCTGAAAAAGCTCTGAAGCATGCTTGGTTGTATTTAAAAATGTGATGGATACCGCTTTGCTCCCGTATCTGCTTCATAATCCGCTCAGCTGTTCGCACTGCGGGGAAACACTGGGACACAGCAGCATCATGAACTCTAGCTATAGGGAGATTTTTAAGTATCAAAACAAACAAATAAAACGATCAGTAAAAAACAAAGACTCCTCTGAGAGTTTGAATTATTAACTGTATTTATTGATGTGTGGTTAAAGAGTATCTTACTTAACAGTAAGTAGGGGCAGGTCCCGCCTTCCTCACCTCTTTGGAAAGAAAGTCTCTTCTACTTACTGATGATACTCGCTCACGGGGCGGGACAAGTGTGTCTGAGTGTTGCCAACAGTCTCTGACAGAAAGTAGCTGAAGTGCACCAGAGTGTCACACCAAACTAAAAGCAGGGGGTAAAGCTCTCAGCCTGAAATGTTGTCCCAGTCCAGGCCTGTGCATGACTGTCTGACTGCTTGGTTTAAGTTTAAAAACTAATGAATGCTAGCATTTTCTAAAATATTGAAATAGCAGATGTTAATAAATAAAACAAAAGTGCTACTGTACCCCACCCACTGTTGCTGCGCCTATGTTTTTATTTTTTAATTGATCAAGTGAAATATTTTTTAATTGATTTTATATTATATTGGGTAGTGTTAGAACGTCAGTGCTTGATAATTGTTTTCATAATCATACGTCCCCAATTATTCAGCGGGCCACATGTAGCAACCTGGTTATATTAAACACCTTGGGTCAAAATTAATTTTGCATATTATATTTCTGGGCTATAATTTGGAGAAATACGGCATGTTCTATGAAGCACATTACATCTATGAATATGATCTATGAAGCTAATTCCTTTTTTTGAGGATAGATAAATAACTTGTAACCAGGTACATGTCTGCAAATTTCTTTTGTGTAATGTATTTTCTTATTTTTGTTGCATGGAAAAATCTGTGTATGCGGACACTCACTATTTGCCCTCTTTTTCAGTTCCTCAAGTGTGTCCTTTACAAGCAGAGGCTTACTGATATACGACTCTGTTACCAGTTCTAGGGCTGACGCACCCAGTTCCCCACCCCCGGTGTATCCTTTACAGGTATGCAAGTTTCTAAATGAAATAAATCACAATGACCTTAAACATGTGGTTAATCTTAACCAAAGTCCTCAGTTATGGGAAAATGAATTGGAAATGCAAGTTTTGCTACTTCACAACAACAAAAAGATTAGACCTGCTGAAACACATCAGGCTAATACATGGGCATTTTGCTCGAGTCCACTCCATACCCTGCCTTCATGCAGATTGCCCTTGCACTGTCAAGACATGGGGAGCATTAAGGACACATTTGTCAAGGCATCATTCACAGTCATCCAAGCCAGGCAACATCCTTTCGTTCACATGCATTGTCTGTAATTCATGCTCTTTTGACAATGAGAGGCAGTTTTTTGAACATCTTGGTGGCCATCTAAAAAAGTTTGAAACTGTGCCATGTGTTTTTAAGGATTGCGATTATAAGGTGAACAAATATACAACATTCCACAGCCACAAGAGTAGAAAACACAACCCACATTCCTTGGAAGATTTCAAGACTAATGTTCTTCATCAATACCAAAAGAACCCGGACGAAGAAGAATGTGACATTGTTGACGATGACAATGAATGTGGCTCAGTCCTTGACGAGGATGAGGACTTAAACAAAATTATTACTGAGAAAGTGGGGCTACTCCTCCTGAAAATGGAGAGCATTTACAACGTCTCCAATTCATGCATTGACGAACTAGTAGAGGAACTTCATTTCCTTACAGCATCTGCATCTGGTCCCGTCATTAAAGAAATAATTCAGAGCACTCTGAGAAATCATGGCTGTACATTGGAAGACTCAGTGATTTCAGAACTGGTCAAAGACCTTTGCCGGCTAAGCCCTGTCTGTGCTGCTTTAAGAGTGGAAGGGCCTTTAAGCAGTCAGTTCAGGAGAGAGCAATTTAGAAAGGAGCATCTCTCATTGACTGAACCTGTTGAGTACATACTTGATAGTACAGATAATAAAACATTTCAGTATATACCAATCCTCCCATTATTATCTCAACTTGTGGACAACAGATACATTCAAAACACAATATTACAAAACAAAAGGCCAGCTGATGTCTCTTCAGAATACAAATCATTTAATGATGGATCTTTACTAAGAGAAAACAGCTTTTTATGTGAAGATGAACTTAAACTTCCACTCATCCTTTATATAGATGACTTTGAGATATGCAACCCTCTGGGAACGTCCCGTAAGAAGCATAAAGTCACAGCTGTGTATTGGGTGTTTGCAGACATACCTGCCACATTGAGATCTACACTGACTTCCATTTACTTAACCATTTTATGCAAAGCAAATGATGTCAACCAGTTTGGCTATGAAAAAGTTTTGGACCCACTGCTCAAAGATTTGAAGTCCTTTGAAGAAAATGGTATTTTTGTTTCAAGTCTGGGCAAAGTGGTCAAGGGCACTGTACTTGCTGTAGTCGCTGACAATCTTGGTGCTCACTCAATAGGCGGGTTTGTTGAAAGCTTTTCAGCTTCACATTTCTGTCGCTTTTGCATTGGCGAAAGGTCACAGATCCAGGAGCATGAAGTAGGAGAAGGACTGTTTCCTCTACGGACTAAGTCTAACTATGCCATCCATGTCAAAGCAGCACTGTCTGATCCTGCAGAAGCTCACCACTGTGGAGTTAAAAGACAGTGTCCAATCTCAGACAGACTCAGTCACTTTCATGCTGCATCAGGTTATCCCCCAGATGCTTTGCATGATTTGCTTGAAGGGATTGTACCTGTGGAAATATCACTCTGTCTTGATGTGTTAATCAGGAAGAAATACATTTCTCTTGAGCAGCTCAACCATTCCATCCGTTGCTTTCCTTACAAATGGAGTGACAAAACAAACTGTCCACAACCCATTGCCCCAAATTTCACAGCACGAAAAAGTGTAGGAGGTAATGCACACGAAAACTGGTGTTTGTTGAGAATGATACCACTCATGATTGGCGACAAAGTACCAGAAGATGAGCCTGCTTGGGAGGTTTTGATGACCCTGAAAGATGTTGTTGAGCTTGTCATGGCTCCTCTCCACACAGATCACACAATAGGATACATGCAAAGTAAAATCTCAGAACACCGTTACAGATATTTACAAGTGTTCCCAGAGGAGAAACTGAGACCAAAACATCACTTTCTCGAGCACTATCCTTTGCTTACAACTGTTTACGGGCCACTTGTACATTTCTGGACTATGCGATTTGAAGCCAAACATCGATTCTTTAAAAGGATTGTGAGGCAGACTGGGTGTTTTAGAAACATCCTCATGACAATGGCGAGAAAACACCAATCGATGATTGCATATCATACACACAATTACAACCACCAAAGGCCAGCACTGTCAGTGTCCCAGAAGACTCAAGTGGCAGTCGACGTTCTAAAAGACAGCATTAAGGAGTCCTTTGCAAGGAAGTTCCCAAGGGAAGACTTTGTGCACATGACCAATAAAGCAACCATTTTAGGCACAGACTATAATATTGGCATGATGCTGCCATTTGGCTCAACAGGAGGCCTACCTGACTTTGCAGAAATCCATCAAATAATCATTGTGCACAGAACTCCTGTCTTTGTTCTAAAGCTGCTTAGAGGCTGGTACTGTGAACACCTGAGGAGTTTCAAAGTAGAGCCCACAGGAGAGACAGAAATCCTTAAACATTCTGAACTGAAAGAAACATACCCCATGGCTGCATACAATACAGCAGATGGCCGTATGGTGTCACTTAAACACTTCATTTGCACATCAGAGTAAGTGTAATGGGTTGATTATTTCTGTTATATCAAATGTTTGTGCACTTATTGAAATTAGAAAAAATATTATTTTACAAACAACTATATGGGCAGGTGTCCTGTTTTATTTGTTTATTGTAATGTTTTTTTTAACAGGAACAATACATATTACATTGAAAAAGAAAATGGAAACGTGATGCATACTTAACTCTCCTCTATTCTTCTTCCCTTATCTCCCTCTTCTTAAAATGACAATCAAAAATTATTTATTCAAAATTCTACTGAGCTAAATCTTTGCTTTTATTTCTCTGACAGAAGATAATGAAGAAAATATATGCATGTAAGCTTATCAACTATTAATAACCTGTCTTAATTTCTTTTCTTTCTGTCTCTACAGCTGAGGAAACACAAACCAAACAACAATGGCAGTCCAGTTAAGAGTCATTTTAGAAGAACACAGCATTCAAAAGTTGACACTTCCAACAGGAATTCCTAATACAGTGGAAGATCTTGTTTCCATAATTACTGAAACTTTCCAGTTGCATGGGGAATTTGGACTGCTATACCAAGACAAAGACTTTGACAACCAGTTTTTCAGTGTCATCTCGACTGCTGACTTGTATGACAAGGCCACTGTTAAAGTGATCCTTAAAGAGCCAGTAATCACCCTTGACCTACAACCAGTATGTGAATCAGGATCATCATCTACATTGAACTCTTCAACTTCAGTGAGCACCCATCCTGCAACTACTACTGAAACGGACATCTGCCCTGCACATCATGATGCACCCTCACAGGTGTCCGACTGCGCATCCTCAAGTTCCAGTGACACCATCATTCTCCCTGATTCATGTCGCCCTGTTGCATGGCCAGTGCCATTTCAAGTACCAGAGTTTTCCCGAGACATACAACTAATCCTCACTGAGGCAAACAACTCATATCGCAACACTGGAAGACCTTTCATGGATGCCAGTGTTAAATCAGCAATAATGCAAGACCTTGCAAAAGTAATTTTTTCGTACACTGCTTACCCAACCAATCAGCAGATCCTCTCAGTGGCTGAAGCGTTGGTTTCAAAGTTTCCGTGTCTTAAGGAGCCAGGATCATTTGCCGGCTTATATGGCTGGCAGCAGCGCATAAAAAACAAGATGCACAATTACCGTGCCAAGCTAAGATCTCGAAAATTTTCTTACCCAGAAATTGAAATTAATGCCTTAAAAAGGAAACATCCAGCTAATGCAGTGCCATCAAAGAATGTAAAAAAGCCAAAAAAAGCAGAGGTTAATTATCTCCCTCCGCATCCTACTGGAGAAACACCAGAGACACTGGAGAAAGAGAGGCTTGAAATGATTTATGAAATAACAAAGAAAAACAACGCAAAGATAATTGCTGATAAAATGAATAAAACATTCTCTAGCAGAAGACTTGAAGTGGTCAGCATCTGCCCCTCTGTGGGTGAATTAAAAGAAAGGTGGCCTGCATTATTCACTGAGGCTCAGGTGAGTATGTGTGATAACGTTTCCTTCCCACCAAAAAACATTCATGTTATAACTTTGAGATCTGGTCTGTCATTTGAAATGTCTTTTTTTTTTTTGTCCCCTTACTTTTTAGATCATCGAAGAGTTCAGACGCATCACCACAATTTCTTTGGTGGAGACATTCATGCTGAAACTTGATGAGTACACACCAGGTCTTTTGCAGCTTATGCGTGCCAAAGGGGGAGCTGCTGGTTCCAAGATGAGACCTCTGCTGGACACTTTGAATGACGTATGTTAATTTACTTTTTTTTTTTTTTTTTTTTTACAAATAAGTAATTATGGAGGGCTGCAGTGGGTAGCAAGAAGGTCCTGGGTTGGGCTGCTCAATTAATCGAATTTTAATCACGATTACGATCTGAGTTTTGAACGATCATAAAAAACAAAACAAGCCGATTATTTGCTCCTCCCACTTGCGCTGCCCTGAGTTGCAAACAAGGGCGTCAGTTTGTTTTCAGAATTGCTGGGGACAATAACCATACACTTGAGTGGGGTTTAAAAATTGCTGGGGACAATATAGGCTAGCACAGGGGTCGGCGGCTCTCTGTGCTTGTAAAATAATGAATGGATATTTAAATAAAATGCTTTATATTTTACTGCATTAATTTTACATCTGTATGCCAATTCTAAATGTAAAGATTGTCTGCGTAAACCTGAACAGGTCCAACTCGATCTTACTGTGAGACCGGCTTGACGCGTCACGCTTGTGTGTAATCATAGGCGCTTCCTGAGCTGGAGGATGTCAGATTCTGGGCTTCTCCTCAGACGGTTCCTGGATGCGTCGCCACATTGGAGACAGGAACAAGCGCTATTCAGCCAAAGTTTCATAATCAGGTGTGGCTGTGTGAGTGTCCTGTCACAGTGTCCCGATAGATCATGCGCCCTGGCTACTTGGCCAAGGGGATGTCCCTTTGGCTGACTGGTTAGAGTGTATGACTCTCACCCGGGAGTCTGGGGATCGAATCCCTCCCGGGTCCTCGTTTCTCCACCTTGCCACATATTGACGGATAAACTCAAGGATGTTGGTTGTTTTGAAAGAATTACCCCGACGCACACTGATGCGCATGGATGAGCTGACATTTTAATCGTTACGCACATCGCAGAGGTAACTTGATTCCCATCAGAACATCAGAGCTTTATACTGGACATGTGTTCAGCGCGGCTCGGAGCGCCCACGGTGGACAGTGGGCTGAAGATCTGTAGAGGGGTTCGCAGCGCAGCGCAGAACCACGACGCATGCGATGATTTCCGCCCACTGAAGCGGTCTGGAAACCCGGTCTCTCTGATGGATGTGTCACTTGGAAAAATGTTCTTTTTATGAAATTATGAAACTTTGGCTGAACTGCGCTTGTTCCCGTCTCTAATATGGAGACGCATGACGCATCCAGTCTGAGGCAGAATAGCCTCTTCAGCTCAGAAAGCACCTGTAGAGACATTTGATCACGCACAAAGTTTATGTGGAGCAGAAGCGGTCGGGCCACGGCAGGTGAAATGTTCCTAGCCTACATGAAGTGTAACATTAATATGTTACTGGACACGCTGGTCTGGTTGGTTAGACCAGTGTTTGAAGTGGAAAACACACACACACACACACACACACACACACACCAATTAAAATAATGCTGATAGCGTGGACTAGAAGACAGGTGATGGGTTACGTATTTAAATGATGATCAGGCTGCTGTAAAATGTAATCTCCATCCACATCCAGACAGAATTATCCTCTATTCTTTCTCTAGTTGCTCTGCTCTTGTCTGGGCTGACGTAGCTGACGGTGCGCGCGGCGCGCCTAACTAGCGGCTGATGCACATTTTACGCATTTGGAGAGGTGGGCTGGAAGCTTTGCTTTTACTGGAAGATGGTCCACTTAACGCACGGGTGTAGACTACATATTAATGACAAATGAATGAAAATTAAACTGGGAGTTTTTACTTCATATTTTAGAAATAAAAAGGACGGGGAACACATTTATGACGTCTTTTTAAACTACATTTTCCAGCGCGACCTGCCTGCTTCACTTAAGTCACTGCTTATTAAGGTCCGTCCAAAATTACCTTGGCCCACCCAAAAATGAAAACCTGGCGCCGCGCCAGTTATAAACCTCTGCAAATGGTTGTTCTTCACGTTATCAAACTCAGACTTTGTACAGCTAATGTCAAGATGTAAAATTATGAATTCAGTCGAGCTCTTCCGTCCCTCCCTCTCCTGGAAACCCGACATCGGCTGTCAGAAGCGGGAGGTGAAGAAGGAGATGAGGCAAACAGAGTGAGTGCGACATAGAGAAACCAGACTGGTGTGGAGGTGAGCAAAACAGCTGGAAAAGTGTGGGTGTTGAATCCCCCACGGGTGCGACGCCCATGCGAGCGACCGGTACCGGCTGCTGTCATCTGTTGTGAGCAGCTCTCTGCTGTCTGAGGGTAGGCCCCGCCCACAACGCTGCGGCTGCTGCGGTGTTTTCTTTACTGTGGGAAACGGGTAATAATGGCTCTTTGATGGGAACAGGTTGCCGACCCCTGGTATAAGATCTGAGCTGGTAAAACAAAAATCCTCATCAGCAGGCTTTTTTGAAAGAGGGGGGGACACAGCTTCCAATCACAAATTTTGCCGGGGACATGTCCCCGGCGTCCCCGGTTAAAATGACGCCTATGGTTACAAATGAAGCGCTCCTCCCACAGTGTTGCCAACTTGGCGACTTTGACGCTATTTCTAACAGCTTCTCAGACCCCCTTCTTGACTTTTTAAATCTTAAAAGTACCTAGCGAACACCTCAGAAACATCTCTTGTAACCCTTAGCTACTTTCTGGATAACTGTCTTCGACATTTCCTGCAGGTTAGCTAAACACTCCGCCTGCGCTCCGGACCGTTCTTCAGGACATTAGGAAAGGGAATGATGCAGTGGTGTGTCAGTCGCTAAAGAAACGGCTCTCGGAGCCGGCTCCCTGTTGGATTAACCAAAGTGAGTGACACACACTCCGTACCTGCGGACTCCTGAGCCACTAAAAACAGCTAAATGTGCACGTGTGGCACGCTAAACACACGTGCAGCTTGCCCCGATTGCTGTGAGACCAGGTTGGGGGGTGGGGGTGCAGCTGTGGTTGGGACAATTATTACATTAACTGATGGACTTGTAAATAAATAGTTTATAAATAAGGTAGAAATAGATAGAAGTAAGTTCCTCACGCTGATAACTAATAACTAATCTCTCTGAGGACACGGTGCTAGTGCACTCTCCTACAGCACCTCGACACGACTCAATAAATGTTATGCAACATTTTGTGAACATCAATTTATTTGCATTTATTTGTTATAAATGCCACTGTATAATTCTTGCTGTCAGTATTTGCAAGATATTGGTATTTGGGTCTGTACTGGTTAGACTTAAATGAGTTAAACCAAGGTCTACAGCCCTTGGGTCATAAACTATGAGCTATAAGTATATTGGTCTTTTTATACTGGGAATCAGGAGTTCTTTTAGTGATCATCTTGTTTCTTATTTATTTTTGTCCTGATTGTGCCCTGAGCAATTTTATGACTGAATAAAAACAAATAAAATCAACATAAATTGAAAAATAATCCTAAATAATCGTGATCTCAATTTCAGTCACCATAATCGTGATTATTATTTTTGCCATAATCGAGCAGCCCTAGTCCTGGGTTCAAATCCTGGCCCAGGGTCTTTATGCATGGAGTTAGCATGTTCTTCCTGTGCACGTGTGGGTTCCCCCTGGGTACTCCGGCTTCCTCCCAGTCAGAAAACATGACTGTTAGGTTAATTTGTCTCTCTAAATTGTCCTTAGGTTTGAGTGTGTGCGTGCATGGTTGTTTATCCTGTCTGTCTCTATGTTTCCTTGTGATTGACTGTCCAGGGTGTACCCAGCCTCTCACCTGTTGAAAGCTGGAGAGGCATCAGCCATGTTTTTGTTTTTAAGTAATTCAGTCTTAATGTATGTAAATCACTCAACTTAGTCTTCTCACTAAATTGTATCTCCCTACAGACACAGAGCATTGAGAAGAAAAGGGATGTTGTTATCTGCTGCCTCATTAGCTACCTCGGGGAAAGACGAGAAGATCTTTTTCATGACTGCCAGGTATGTCATATTGATAACAGATCACTTATTAAATCAAGGGATCCTACTGTTCTTCTCTCCTGTCCTCTCCTATCCCCTGTTCTCCCCTTCTCCATTCATCTTCTGTCCGCTTCCTTTTTTAGATAAACTGAAATATATTGAAAAAGCATCTTAAATAAAATAAAACATGTGTATGCTTTTTATTTATTTCTTTTTAACACGTAGGAATGTGAGGATTACACAGACGATATGATGAAAGTGATCGTGATCCACAACATCATGGCTGAGGAGGATCCATCAGATGTGTTCATTGTGATTGAGGGAAACCAAGTGATGGAGGGATGTGGAAGCCGAACAAAGGCATGTGTACTGCTGATGGGACTGATATATGCCCTCAACCTCGAATATCCGAAGGAGCTGAAGAACACATTTGACACTTTTCAAAAACTGTTTTTGCAACTCGACGGGGCGAAACTACTGAACAAGGTCCACAGCCTCAAAAATAAGCTTATGCAATGCACACACATTTCCCCTCTTGTTCCCAGAGGATCTTTTGTCCAGACGTAGCTTGATGAAGCTGTGATTTTTCTTCTGACAGCACACAAACTATTGAATGTTGGCGTTAGTGTTCTGTTCTATCTACATATGTTTGATAACGTACATGCACAGAAACAACCTTGTAGAGTTTCTGTGCTTTTGGCTTTTAAAATGGACTAAGTTGCCTTGGAAAGTGTTGTCTGCAATATCTGTTGTGTTGCACTTTATTCTGTGTTTTTATGGAATAAAAACATTGAGATGATGAACCATTTGAATATCTTTTTTGGGGGGGTACATTTTACCTTATATGAATAGGTAATGTTTATCAACTGATAATAATTAAATTTTATAAGTAATTATCAGGTATTACCAACTAGCAAACAAGAGATAATTTTACCCAATTTCAATGAGTAAGTAGCTGTTGAATGTATACATAAATATTGGGTAAATTTTACCCAATTTAATTAAGTATTTCATATATTTTTATTGAAGCTATTTTAAACACAATATATTGAAATAAATCTACCACAAAAAAGGCTATGCAAATTGTTACCTCAGATTTATTGGGTAAATTCTATAGATGAGTTTTTACAGTGTGTGTGAGATCTTATCCAGTCATATTTTTCTGGAGCTTTTTCCTCAGGAAAGAACTTGATAAAGTGTTCCAAGAGGGTTTGAAGGTGCGTAGTGATATACCCCTTTACAGTATTAACACACAAATCATTTTCCTCCATGAACTCCTCCAGTTCAGGAAACATGTCAAAACAGCCCGTTTTTACTCGTGCAGACCACCGATCCAGTTTCCTGTTGAATGCATTGATTTTGTCATTCAGTGACACGATGTTTGCGTTTTCAACTTGTTGTGATGTGTTTAACCCGTTCAGCTTGTCAAATATGCAAGCCAAGTATGCTAGCCTTGTTAACCAGTCAGGATCAGTCAGATGGGCAGCAAGGTGAGACCCGTGCTCCAACAACAATAGGCGCACCTCGTCCCGCAGCTCAAACGCCTGAGAACGTTTCCCTGTGACAGCCACCTGACTTCTGTGTGGAAAAGCAGACTTTGATGCTCTGATCCCATTTCGTTGCAGAGAGCAGCAAACAGTCTTGTGTTCAGAGGACGGGATTTTATGTGGTTGACAATTTTTGTTGCACTCTCAAGCACCGTTTTAAGCTCTGGGTCTAGCGATTTACTCGCCAGAACTTCTCTGTGGATAATGCGGTGCGTAAAGTTTATGTGTGGGGCCACTTGTACAACTCTTGCTTTAAGTCCTTTATTTTTCCCCAGCATTGCTGCAGCACCATCTGTGCACACACTGATGCATTCATCCCAAGACAGCCCCTCCTCTTTCAGTTTTTTATCAATTTCTGTGAAAAAGTCCTCACCTGTGCACTTTGCTGACAGTGTGGTGCAAAACAGCATGTCCTCGTAAAGTTTTCCATCAAAACTGTATCTGACAAAAACGAGCAGCTGTGCAGAGTTTGCGACATCTGTGGATTCATCTAACTGCAAAGCGTATTTTCCTCTCTTGACTCTGTCAATCAACTGATACTTGATGTCCTGCGCCATCTCTGTGATGCGCCGGGATATTGTCCCATCAGACAGCGCGATCGCTTTCAGCTCCTAGGCTTGTTTATCTCCATGCATTATTTGGCTCATTGCGATGGCAGCAGGTTTTATTAGGATCTCTCTGATTGTGTGTGGCTTTTTTGTCTGTGCAATTAGATATGCCACCTCATATGATGCCATTTGAGCTTTTGTAGAGATTGATTTCTGGTTGGTCAAAACTTTCTTTTGGCTTTGAAATGCTCTCTCTTTTCGACGGAAGAAGTCTGCTGGTTTAGCTGCAAATGAGGAGTGCTTAGTTTTCAAATGTCAGAGCATTTTTGCAGGCTTAAAGCTCTCATTTGCAAGCAACTCAGTGCACAATACACATTGGGGGTGTTGTATTTCGTTTATAACAGTGCATGTAAATCCATACTGGATATATTCCTCTCGATACCTGCGAAATTTAGGCGAAGGCTGATTCAGCTGCGCCTTAGCATCTTATGGGCTCCTCCTCCCACCTCAGATGTGGAAGGTGGCTCCCCGCTGATCTCTGAGTCTGCTGCTGCTGCATGATCAGTTGGCTTCTGTTCGTTGTCTCTAATATGTGTTAACCAGCGCTTCATATTGCATATAAACCATATTACCGTAAAACTTTTTGGAATATTTGAGTTGTTCAGAAGAAACGTGTTTACCGCGGCGCTGCAAAGTAACCCGTCGGTCACAAATTGAGCTGCCGTGAGAGCCTTGTTTCGCGACCCAACAGCAGCGTATTGCGACCCCGGAAATGGGAACCCCTGATCTAAAGTAACTTCATTTTAGGCAATGGTAGGTTCAGTCATCAAGGGCCAATGTTTTGGACCTTGAGGGCCACTATCCTGCATGTTTCTGAGGTTTCATTGCTTCAACACTCCCAGTTATGATGGTCCAATCATCTTCTCATCACGTTCCAAAGTTCTGCTAACCACTTACTAGGGGTTGTATCAACTAGTCGACTAGTCGACTTCAATGCTCTGTAGTGACTTTTTATGCCTTTCATCGACTAGTTACTGTCACGTGATAATGACTGACAAGATGGAGTCCTCGGAAAAGACAGCAGGTGATGAGCCCCTGCGCGTCAGGAGGCGAGGCACTGTGCCAGAGCGTCGGTATCTGACACCCGCCGTAAAACGGACATTTGACCCAATTGCGACCTTTACGGGTACTCTCTTGCAATTTAACCTTCCCCTCACCCCATCCTAACCTTAACCAGCTTGCGCATGATCGTTGACGCGCTCCAGGCATCTGCGTCCTGAGCACGACCACAGTAACATTATCAAATTAGGTGTCACCACCTCAAAAACAAATTTAACACGCGATCGTTTATGTCGACTCATTTCCTTTTATGTTTTCTGTCTTTTATTTGTGCCTGATGCGTAGAGCGGAGTGCATCACCTGTTTTGTCCTCCGGTGATGCACCTCACCGGTGCGGCTGGCGCGCTGCGCGCACTCCGCTGTTTTTGCGGTCGGTAGATCTGTAAGAACCGCAGTTCAAAGGTAACTCATAAGGTGAATTTATATGAACCCAGGTAGCAGTTTTTCTTCAGGATTGAGAGGAGATGCAGGAAGATAATAAACAGATAGGACAGAAAAATAGTCAAATAAAAACAAGTTAGTTTTTGTACCTGGTGGTTGCAACAAACAGACACCATTGAAGGTAATCTGAAGTGAGGAACAGAAAATGAAATTATTATTTTAATGTTTAGAGCAGCAGCATCTCTGAGAGGCTGCAGGAGCACCAGTGAGTTTGCGGCCGCACAGGGGAGGGGGAGAGGGCTGAAGCAAGATGCAGAAACCACCGTTGTTAAAAGAGATGTGTTAGAAAATTTTAATTTTAATTGTCAAAAACTCCAGCGAACCAAACGCTTGGTCACCCATCGTCAGTTTTAGCTGCTTCAGGTGTGTGACGTCTTCAACGACTAGTCGAAGTCTACTCGATTTTCTTTACTTGACGGTCGAATTTAAAAAACGGTCGAATTAAAAAAAAATTAAGTCATGCAACCCGTACCACCCACCCAGATTCAAATCTCATTAGTTTCAGCAAATTAACTTTTAAAAGATGCAGGTTACTGGTCCTCAACCATCACAATCAGTGATTTCCACCCCTGATCTTAGTCTTAATCTTAATCATGAAGACCACAAAATACACCAAAAACAAAACAAACTATGTGAAATACAGAGATATTGAAGTTGATGCGAGTAGAGTTTTGTTTTGATCGTGGTCTGTTTATTTCCCTTACTGGTATCAGCCTGTAACATGAGCTTAGATTCAGCCCATCTGGTGCTATCTGATGAGTGCCGGGTTTGTTAGCTGATCAGATTTCCTTCCTGGAGTTGGGCTCCGACTCACGTAGAGTGGTTTGTTTTGATGCTGGCCCTTCTGTACCGACCACTGAAGTCAATGATATCCAATAATAGGTTTAGAGACCAACTGTGGAGCATGTATATGGTAAATACAAGCTTCAGGAAGTTAACAGTCTGAGCTGGCTTGGATTGGAAAGCTTTCTATGCTGTGCGCTCTCTGGACGGGTTGTGGTATTTTGACAACAAGTCTTGTCGCCCTCTGATGGGAAATACTCCTGGATATTCAATATTGGCGTGTCTCGAGTACTACAGAGGTTTTGGTTGGCTGATTCTCTTCCTCCTTAATCCAATTCACTCTAATACCCAGAATCACTGGCTGTCAATCACATACTCCATTTATTTTTCAATCTCTCAGTTCTTCCCTCTCGCCTTTTTCCATGTGAGGACTAGAATCTTAAAACGGCTTCGTCTGCCATCCTGGAAATTATACTGGCTTGTTTTTTTCCATTTTGTCGAATCATAGAGGGACAAAAACCTTGAAGAAAATTTGTTGAGTGTGAAATTCAACAAGAACATCATGCACCTCCACAGAGGCCAGAAAATTTTAAGAATGACTGTTTTGATCCACTCTGCAGTTGAGAGCTTTTGTTGCTGAAGCAGCTGCAGATGTTTTATGATTTCTTATTCATATAACAGAAACAAAAGGCTGTTTTGCCTGCTGAAACACGATCCTACCTTTTGTCCAGGGCAGCCCTCATCTGATAAATATCTTAATGCAAAGCATAAAGTATTTAGACGCTCAAGAAGATTAACAGTCAAGCTGAGAACTGTAGAAGTTTAGGCGAGTGTTATGCTCTTGGAATGCCTTTGCTTAAATTGGATTTACAATAATTTCAATTATCTTCCGATTTACTAAAGTTGTTGGTAATTACACATTTAACTCATAAGATTTCCTCTGGGTTTGCTCTGCAAGTGATTACAAGTGTTCAATTTAATGTGAGATCAGCAAAGCAGGAGTGCTGTGGTATTTAAATAGTTATGAAGTTATAGGGAAATTATTTACAGTCCGATTCAATTGATAAGGTGGCAACCGAAAAGTGGTTTTGAAGTTTTAAATGAGAACTGAAAATCTGTTCTACATCAGTAAAGAGCGATGGAGAGCTTTCACAGTGAATGCCAGATTTAATGAGTCATTGAAGAAGCTTTTTGTTCTCAGCACTGTATTTTTACTGCAGGTTTTTTTAACCAACATACTTGTTTTATGCCCTTAAATGTATTTACACTGACTTGAGTGATTCTTTACAAGCATGAATATCGTCAGCAGCAGCTAAATGTTGCGCCCCAGGTGCATCCAGGGGTCAAATCAACATGACTTTTTAG